CAGAAGGAGGATGGAAAGTTGCTAGTGAGAGTTCCTCGGAACTCGCAACAGAAAAGCATCTGCATGGTTGGAGTTGGAGGGCCGGCTGGCTAGAAAGGGACAAACATTCCAGAGCATCTTCAATGCACCAGGTACTCTGCTGACTGTTTACACTCGGCCATGCCAAGTACCCTATGAAACAAATGAAGTTTCTCTCTTTTCCCAGCTGAGGAAATTGAGCCTTGGGGAAGTTAAATGAACTGTCCAAGGTCATAGACAAAGCAATTTGAACTCCTGATTTTCTAAATCTTCTTTCCTACAAGCTTTATCACTAAAGACAAACACAAAAATACAGTCGGGGCTCTACAATAGTGTCACAGCGAACGGGCACTTAGCTCGGGAATTGTAGAATGAGAACGAGCCCCTGAAGAGATGCCCTGAGAGAGTGAAAATAAATGCTGTCTGCGCCTTCTTGGTGCAATGGCCTGAGAACAGGGCATGCCAGGCACAATTCTGTTTGGATGTGTTACCAGTTTCCACACAAGAAGTGAGATCCAAGAAGCAACTGTAGTACTTCAGCATGGCTGCAGATCTTGGATGGGGCCAGGAGCTTCATCAAGGATCCTGACTGTTCCACGCTAGTGTTTTCCCTGGTGACACAGAAAATTCACTTTCAAGGATTGGAAAAAATGGAAGGGCCTGAAGGACCATGGCCAGCATATTCACAGAAAATGTAGTTGGATGCCAAGAAGATGTCTCATGGCCAAATTTTTATTAATGTTAAAGATAAACATAAATGATTATGCTGTCGACTACTGGGAAAACTCTAGAGATGATTATTAAGTCTGTGGTTTGTGAACACTGGATAAAGAAAGAAAGGGCCACAAGAGAAGGGTGGGGTCACTGAGAAGGTACCATCAAACCTGCCGTCCTATTCTGCTTTGGAATAGTGGTCAGCAATGCAAGGATTCAGGAGATTGCAGAATGCCTGGGTTTCAAGTGGCCAGATGGGTCATGGGCCAGAAACTGTGGCTTCTGGCACACTGTAGGCAGCCCCAGTTGTTCTTGGCAGCACCCACATTTCAAGTGTTCATATTCGGGAAATATTCTCTGTTACTGGCTCTCTAGAAGATTAGCACAGGGGAGCTGTGAGAGCCTAGACTCTGGGGCGGGGGGGTGCCATGGAGGCAGCTTACATGCTCTCAACATTCGGCCTTTGCACACTTGATCAAGGGGCAGAGACGGGAGAACAAGGTACTCAGTGGTTAGAGCCATAGTAAAGAAAGCTGTACTGTCTAGGTTTTATCTCAGCTCCTCTACTTGCTAACTTCTAGGGCACGTTAAGCCCCTTCCTCATGTCTCAGTTATCTCATCTATGAAATGGAGAGGCCAATATTAACCTCAAAGAATGCCGTTACTGTTAAATGAGCCACACATGGAAAGGCTTGGCCCACATCCCGGCACACAGGTGCTCCACAAATGTTAGATCTTATTACTATTAGGGATGACAGATTGTCGCTTGGGGGGAATGGTTAGCTAAATATATCCCGGAATGGAAGGGCTACAGCTTGGTCCAGTGAGTTATTCATCAAAAGTGTTGATGTAGACTGTCACTAAAGAGAAATGTGGAAATATGAGGGTTTTCTCCCTGGCGGTGCTTCTGACGGAAGATGGGAAAGTTGTTTCTTCTCTGACACCAACCAGTTCTGACACCATGTGAGCTTCCCCCAGTGTAATGCAGTTTTGATGCTACACAGAGTTAGCAAGAGACTCCACAGGTCGCCGGTGCTCTCACACAAGATTGCCCTTCACAGTGCATAGGAGGAGAAGACCCGTTTTGAGGATACATGTTTAGTGAGCCTCTAATTTTATTCCATCAGGAGTGCGGGTCGTATGGAATGATGGGGATTATGAGGAACCAAAGTCCCTGTAGCCCACCTTTGACTGCAACTTGGGAGAGGAACAAGCCTGGGGATATATCGCACACTTGATTCACATCCAGTCTGGAGTTTGCTGCTTCCACGTACCTCCACTCCCCATCTCCCAAGCCCCCTTCAGGGAAGCTGGCTGACGACAGTGTATTGTACATCAGTAGGGAGGAGTTGGGTAACCCGGGAAGACCCTGAATTTTGCATTGATCTGACATGCAAACAAATGATCCAAGTGTTTGTAGGTCAGGAGATAACCCATCCACTGACCTTTCTGTAATATCATGAACAGACACAGAGGCAATCCAGAGAACTAAAACCTCCCGTCTGTGTCTCAGTGGCAATCTGAAGTACTCTGAAGAGGACAGCGTTATATTTCCATGGGCATGGTGGGAAGAGACATCATCTTTATCTCTAGATGCACCAACCCAACCCCTAAGCTGTCTGTGCTCAGGACTTACTATACTTTTGAAAAATATTGAAGCTCCAAGGAGTGTTGGTGTGTATTGATCATAGTTATTAGTAGTTGCCATTTTACAAATTAAAACAAGGAACTATAAAATATTTCATTTCAATTTCTTTATTTTAAAGTAATAGTAAATCTATGCATGTTACAAAAACGTTTTATGAAAAATAATTTCATCTTACAAAATTTTATCCAGAGAAATCCCATTGTTTTACATTTTAAAAGATTTATTTTTATTTTTAATTGTGTGTGTGTCTAAGTGTGGGCATGTTGTGCACATGGGTGCAGGTGCCCCTGGAACCCAGAGGTGTTAGATCCCCCCGGAGCTGGAGTTACAGGCAGATATGTGTTGCCTGATGTGGGTGCTGGGAACCAAATCCTGGTCCTCTACAAGGGCAACACACACCCTTAACCACTGAGCCATCTCTCACGCCTCTGCTGTATATTTTTTGAAGGTATCTTTAATGTCTAGTTAACCAAGCAGCTGAGCTCCAATCAATGTTCTATATTTGATTGGCTATGATAGGTATATCTCACTATCTTGATCTGGAACTTCTGACCACATGTGTTTAGGAGAACAAGTAGGAAAAGATGTAATTTCTGTCTCAGTGTCCTTACCGAAGGGTAGTGGCCTCCTGTGTCTCCAGTTGAAGGGCAGCTGCCCTTCACTCTAGGGAAGCTCTCCGTACCTCTGACCTGCATCTGCTGCTTCTCTTTCATCTGCTTGTGAAGGGACCTCAGCTGGAAAGGAACTGGACAGCTTCACTTGTTCAAACAGCATCTTCCCAGATATTTCATGGCATTCAAATTCCTCCAAAAACAAGACGAAATAAAAGGGTACTAGACAGTTTAACCAACCACCTGTTATATCAGTAGTAACTTTGCCACTGGCTGACCTAAGGGGGTTAACAGCAGGAGAACTTGGGCTGAAACTTGTTGGTTTAGAGGGAAACAGAGATTATTTCAGCAAATCACAAAAATTAAGGTTTCTATATTACAGGATTTGAAATGTACACCATTCAGGTTCCTTATCACCCTTAATAATGGCGGTCATAGAACTGAGGACAAAGCAAGAAGACAGACAGCCCCCTGAAGGCAAGCATGTATCAGATTCATCTCTTTGCCCTCCCTGCCTTCCAGCTTTACAGAGAGCAGAGGAAGCTTTTCCCTTGGGAACCTTCAAAAATGGAAGAGACCCACTTTCTTTTAGTCATGGCCTTGGCTAGAGAGCTGAAGCCATCTGAGGCCTGGCACCACTAGGGTGTCTCACAAGGATTCTTTCCACTTCAAATCAGCAGCTCAGGGGTCCTATTGTCTCTGATCTCCATGAGGTGTCTGATTGAGGGGAAAGGCCAGCTGAGGAATAGACCAGGCACACCTCTGCAGGTGTAAGTCGTGGCCTGTGAGGATCAATGCAAAGGTACAGAAAGCACCTGATGCTCATCAGCAGTGACTTATCTGGGATGGGAGAGGGCTCTCTGTCTGTAGGCAGCCGTTGTTGACAAGATCATCTTTCCTGTGCATCTGACTCTGCCACACTCAAATGCCCATTGTTCATACTCAGGTTGGCTACTCAGTTCCACAAGCACAGATAGGTGTGGCTTTGATGGGGGCAGGCCATTCGGCTGACAGGAGGGCAACAGTTTTTCAAAAGAAAATGAAGGTCATCGTGACTAATGCATCAGGCAGGGGAGGCTAGGCATCCCTACATACTGATTCTTCTGGAAGGATGTGTCAGTTTTCTCCTGCTGGAAACCTGCAGAAAGTAACCCCTTAAAGTCAGACTCCTTGTTGGGACACTTGCTTTCTCTTTTTAAATTGAATTTGAAGTGTGTGTGTGTGGGGGGATGATTACAGATTCACATGTAGTTGTAAAACACAATACAGAGAGATACCTGCTACCCATTCATGACTCTCCCCCAGTGGTAGCATCTTGTAAACTATACCACAGTAGCAGAATGTGGGCTTTCCTGAAGTCTCCTGAGACTGTGCTCACCCCCAGACAGAGATGCTCTGGAGAACAATGAGCGGCTTGTCCTTGAAAGGAAGGGCCACAGGTAAGAAACTGGAGGGTAACAGCAGATGTCAGGGCAACCTGAGCAAAATTATCAGATTGGTGGTAAGGATATAATGGTGATGTTCAGGCGCCCATGTGGGGAGAGCATCGAGAAGAGCAGCAGAGGAACATGCTATCTCAGGTCTCATTTCCTGTTCTTGTAAAGCTGATGGTACCAATTGGGGGCCCCCTTCTAACCCTAATCACCTCGTATTAGTATCGTTAACATTCAATGTGTTAAATGTCCAACATCTATGTTTATAGGGGACATGTTGAAATCACCTACAATATGAACTGCAAATTTTCCTCCTAGTAAATGCCATTCTTCCATCCAGGGAGGCTAGCACTGTGTCTTCTCAGCCTGTCTCTAACAGGAGAAACAGCCCCTCAGAGTCTGCCCTTGTCTCCCTGAGGGTGGCCCCCTTTCAACGTTCTCCAAAATAGCAGCTCTGTATTGCTTTTCAGATTAAAATCAACAAAACAGTATATGATCTTCCTATTATTGAAAAATGAAAATAACAAAAATGAACAGGGATAAGGAAGAAAATTAAAATTAACCACCATGCCACAGTTAATATTTTGATGTATTTATTTCCTCAAAGACTTTTGTTATTGTGTGAATATTCTTGGACTCTGTATCAAGAGGTTCTGCCCCATTGCATTCAATCAACTGCAGATTGAAAGTATTTGGGGGAAAATTGCATCTGCAGTGAGCATAGATGGACCCTTTCTCATCATAATTCCCTAAACCATAGAAAATGAAAACCATTTACAGCATTAACATTGTGGTGGGTGTTATTGGTCACCTGGAGATGTTGTGAGGCACATAGAAGGTGTGCAGAAGTCTCCCTCCCTCTCTCTCTCTCTCTCTCTCTCTCTCTCTCTCTCTCTCTCTCTCTCTCTCTCTCTCACACACACACACACACACACACACACACACACACACACACACACACTGCATCACTTTATATTAAGGGATTTTTGGCATCTGAGGGAGTCTCGGAACTAGTTCCTGTGGATATTGAAGGACAGCAGTAATTTTAAATTTCAGAATAATGTGTGACTTAACGTCCTCAACAAAAAGCAATACACTAAGTTGCCCTATAAATGAGAGCTCTTGTTTTTGTGACAATTGAAAGAAGCTGAATTTGGCCAGGGAGAATATCTTGGGAGCGATAGGCAGGCATTTGAGCTAAGAGAGAGAACATAGGAACAGAGGTGACAATATTCATCATCTGGGGCGTATATACCGACATAGTAGTTAACAGACATGAACCAACTGAGGACAGGGAGCAAGGAGCTGTAACTGGCTAGCTCTTTGTCATCCAAAGGCACTGGAAAGCTATTAAACATTCTTGAGTAGGAAATGACTTCGCAAAGATGTTGAACAAACAAAAGAAAAGGAAGAGTGATGAGCAACCCTGCCTGTGACCCCTGCTGTCCCCGATGACTCCCGCGCTGTGGGGCAGAGTAGATTGTTCTACCTCTGAGCTGCCAAGATGGATAGGGACCTGTTGAGCTTCACCATGGCAATAATGAGGAGGCCCCCAGTCAGCAGGAAGGTGGGCCAGAAGAAGGAGAAGAGGAGGACTTGGGGCCCATAGAGGCGCCGATACACAACGGTGGTCTCATTGACTTGGGGTGCAGAGAAGCAGTAGAAAGTCTGGTGCTCATGGAAATTGCCTCTGACCTTCTCCACATCAGCCAGGGCCATCTGGTAGTTGTCCAGGTTGCCAGGGATGTAGGAGCACTGTGGAGGAGAAGCAAGGGAGCTTAGGCTTTCAAATGCTCACTTCAAAGAGGCTCAGAGTGAGGCTTTGGGGTATGAAAAAACACACAAACAAACAAACAAAATGATGGCTTGGGAGTCAGCCCCTGGAGAGCATGGTTGGTATCTGAGTATAGACGGTGGGCCTGGAGCCTCTCAACATGATGCTGTACACCTGGACGCAGGGCTCAATTGGAATCTATTTGCTGTGAAATCTTAGGCAAATTGCTCACCCTCTCTGACCCTTTATGGCTTCATTACTGAGATGGGTTAATAGTGTCACAGCAATGGGCCAGAGAATCATGGCTCACACAAGTGCACACTCTGTATGCACACTCATGCAGGTAACACCGAGGAGGGAGGCTAGGCAGGCAGTGTCAAGTCAGAGGGGAGTGAGCCAGCCACATCCCGAAGGGACGTCGTCACTCCTGTGGACAAGAGACGCCACATCATCCACCGACACATCCAGAGAAGCCAGAAAACCTGATTTTCCTGCAAACCCCCAGGATTTCAAAATCCTGGCTAAAATCCAAAGAGAAGACTCTTTGAAGTCTAATCCTGTGTGAACCAAAGAAAATATGTTGGCAAGCGGGTCTGTGAGAGAATCCAAAGGAAAAAGAGAAAGTGCAGAGAAGAGCTCCAGGCAGGCAGAGCGCGGCATGCATTTAAACTCTGGCACTGATGGTTGCTATTAGGAACCTTCTGGCCCGTTGAGATGAAGAGACCCAGCTGCAAAGCTCTGCAGAGACAGCCCAGAGTGGAGACCTGGCTTTTATCTTCCTGTGCCAGAAGGACTGGGTGCCACCCGTATGAACCTCAAGAGGTACTTTGCAAGGATGGACCTCTCTATAGACCTGCAGGAGAGTACCTCTGGGGTGCCCTTCAGCATAAGCTCCTACCCTGTGGGGTACAGGCACAGGGGAAGTAGAGACAGACATTCAAGGACCATATTCTAGTGAAGTAGTCATGTCCAAGATCAAATATGTAAACCTGAGGCCCAATGGGTAAGTGGTGAACTAGCGTCTTCCCCAGGACTCAGTTACCTCCCAAGCTGCATGCTCCACGTGCACCCAGTCTAGCAGCACAGAGATGCTTCATCGTGGTGCTAATATCAGGGAAACAGGGGAGCTGCAGGCAGGTGCAAGACCCCAGTGAGCCAGGGAGAGCTGAAGCTCCTGGGGAATCTGGTCCTCAGAAGTGTTGGGCACTGTGGAATGTTTAGTAGCAGGACCGTCACTGGGTAACCTTGACCACTGAGCACAGGTTTCTCTGTAGAGCCAGACAGGCCCAGGTTCAACCACGGCTTCCAAGCTGTGTGACCTTGGCATCTGGTACAACCTCTTAAACCTTGTGAAGTCATTTGTAGTGGTGCCTGCCCAGAACCTCCCTGGAGATTAAACTAGGAAACTTACGTAAAGCACTTAGCGAGAGCCCAGATCTTGTAAGTTCAAAAAGTGGAAGAATTATTAATAATAATAGTATTGTGGCTTTACCTGTGAAATTGGAGTAACTGCTGTTTTCCCACTTGAAGCACGAGCTCTGATGTAGGGGTCTGCACCCATCCCAGGGCACCGCTGTGTCTTTTGCCTGATTGCAGCTCCTCTAGAGTCTACATTCTTGATCTGTTTGTCAAGACCCTTGCCAGGAGTTTCCTCTCCAGGCTGAGGCAAGGCCTGGGACCTTTTACCTCTCTCTACCTGCCCCGGTACAACCATCCCTGAGTTACCTGCATGAGCTGAAGTGAAGCAGCCCCTGCCTCTAATCTGAGGCTTCACTCTTGTTAGGATAGGCTGCCAAGAGCTCCTTCCCCTTAGACTGAGGTCCATGGGGGGAGACAGAGAAGGCCGTGGAGGAGGAATGAGAGCCCGGCCTGTCTAGAGGCATACTACCAACCCGGAACATCAGCCAGGCACACATCCCGATGCTGGGCCAGAGAATGAAATGTGTTTGACTGTCCCACAATGCCAGACTGCCCTTCACTCTCTGTTCGTGGTTTGTGGGTGCTGTGGTTTAACAGCCCCCTTTTTCCCTCACTGGAAAAGAAGTAATATACACTGTTCACAACCCCAGCAGGGTTTAAAGTAGCTTCTAGCTTCTCTGGGCTGGCAGCCTCAGGATTAAAAGGCAGCCTCAACCCAGTATGCCAGGAGAATGGCACCATTTCTTATCTTTGAAAATGTTTTTCTCACTTCTGGGATAAATTACGGTTGCTGGATGCCAAAGAAGAAGCATGAACCACTGGTAGGAGCTAACCCTGATAGGCCTCAATGTTCTTGTCCCACACAGTCGTGCCAACAATGGCCACAAGTCTGACTTCTGAGCACTGCCACACCTTGCTTCCACACACCACCACCACCCCAGACACCACACCAGGCACCTTGCCCCTCCATCCCATCAGTCTCAAGTCTAACTGTCAGTATCATGCTTGTGACAGGGCCACACACCTGTCCTGGGAACCGCTGTGGCCCAGCTTCCGTCTGGTAGCTGACCCTACATGGCTGCTGGCTATGTCTTCTCAACATCACTTGAATGGTGACCCTGGGCCTCCAGTAGCTCGTAGCAATAATATCCAAACTTAGACTCATCTGGGGATCTGCACCAACTGGTCTGTACTCAGGGATTCTGCCTCAGTTGGTCCGGTGTAGTACTCTGATTTTGTTAAGTCTAGGCAGTTCTCATACGTAGCCAGAGTTGAGATGCCCCAATTTGTATGCCAATATTAATTCCATAGTTATATGGGAGAGGTTCTCAGGAAACAGACCCTGGTACCCTTCAGCCGCTTCTGACCCCACTCTATCAGGTGGCATTTCTGGAATCAGTCTCCCTATATAAGCTCTCTCCTCTTGAGACCCGTGAGCCTGACTTGGGAAGGCTCAGAGGTTGTTGAATGGGTGGGGGAAGTGAAGGAAAGGGAGGGAGGGCAGGGAACCAGCTCGTTCAGTAGGGAGGGCTTTGATGGTGATTGGCAGGAGGGGGCGCAATTGAGGGAAACACTCTTACATGTTTGTTATGGAGGTTGCTGTAGCTCCAGCTTCCAGGTGGCCCACGGATTCACCCATCTCCGTTCTTGGACTCGGTTGGTGGAAGAAGTAACTACTAACAACTGCTTCTCTTCTCTGAGGGCCCACCATTTGCCAACATGGGACTTTGCACATTTGGACATGGCACCGGACTTCAGTATAGCACTTTTGGGTATGGCACTAGCACCCATTTACAAGAGTGAAAACTGAGACTCCTAGGGCCTCAGTGGCCTTCCCCCAGTTGCACAGCCAATGAGGGGTAAATTTAAACCACTCACGTCTGTCTGATTCCAACACTGAAGGTCTGAGGCTGACTCCACCTCATTCCAGCCATAAGATCCCATTCAGGTCGGTTAATGTACCTTGACTTTAGTGACATGGGCAGCCGGGGACAAGCTCACAGACCTGTCAGGGCTAATATACCCAGCCCCCACTCATTACCTGCTGGTTTTGGTCCCGAGTGTCCTCTGTGTGATACAGCATGGCCCATCTGCCCACAGCTGATACATTGACCCACAGGCATGGGTACTGGAGCACCTTCCTGCCTTCCAACTCATCATGGTCCTTGATGTTGGTTTCAATCAGGTGACAGATAGATTCCTGGGTCCACACACTGGGGAGACAACACACACACAAACACACACACCTCAGAACAAGAGTGACACACACCAACTTAGAATCTCTGTTCACTGAGAGTCTTTGGAGAGGCCCAGGGCTGGCACCTCCATCTGGCTGTGAGCATGGAATGATCTCGGACTGGTTGGCTCTTGGATGTTTTCTACATAGTGGTTCTCTGATCTTGCTACCCACCTCACACCTGAAAACTTTTTAAAAGGCTGAGTCCCACTCTAAGAGAAAGCGGGGCAGAATTTCTCAGGAGCTTGGGCCCAGGCTCTGATTTTCTTTAAAATGCTTGTCACAGGCTTGTGATGAGCAGCCAAGCCTGCTCATCCCCAAGTCACAGGTGTGGGTGACTTTTGGGGGATGGGGACACGCATCACCTGAGACAAGGGCCAAATCGCTTCAGAATCTCTGCCCTTTCTCCTATAAAACGAGGAACTCTATGAGGGGCTTGATGTGGTCAGGGTTGGAAGGTAGCAGCATAGAGTGGAGAGGCACACGACTGCCCAGCAACACCTCGTGTAGGTGACACTCTGGCCTGGCATGACTGTGGCATTGTAAAGCATGAATGCGGAGCAGGCCCAGGAGAGGCCAACTCCTAAGCAAATGGACTGTGACTTCACCCCCTGTGTCCTGTGGGAGAACCACTGTTAGAAAGGAGAGGGTTGTCAGGAGCCAGAATAGGCCCAGAGGCCTCCCTCAGCAAATGGTGGGCTGAGAGAGCACTGCGAGTCTGTTCCAAAGACGACAGCCGTCAGGAACTCCACGGCTCTTCTTTAAAAGCTGGAAGGACGGCATGCTGGGGAGAGAGGCATGAGGGTGTGGAGCACTCTCCAAGATTTCTGCCTAGAGTTTGGGGCAACAGATGTGAGCTCAGTACAGAGATTCCCCACTTACTGGAAAAACACAGACGCAGAGAGGCATGCTCCCCAAAGAGAGAACTCCCGTCTCAGAGTCATTTATGCAGACTGCTGCCAATCTGTCATTCCAGTTCTCCCCTGAAGATCACACTCTCACTGAAGAGCTGTTTTTTATGACAAAGGGCATCTGCACCTGACATCACCAGGTCCCAGACCAGCAGGACTCTCAACAGTCTTCTTCTCCAGCATTGGAACCCCTAAGCTTAAGGATGAGGGATGCCGGGTCTATCCAGCCTGCTGTGAGGGGTCAAGGGCAGGGCAGGTAGAAGGATGGGGTTCCTAGGCCTGTGGGGATCCAGGAAGTGGGGGGATCCATACCTTTTCTGGTAGAGGGGCAGCACAGTGGTACCCAGGATGTAGTAGGTGATGGCCGCACACACTACCATTGTCACTCCCAGGCAGAGGGCTCGTGTCTCTCCACGCTTCTGGGCCATCACCAGCTTCTTCCCCATGGCCACCGGGGACAGCAGTCATTTCTAGGACCATGGATGCAAAGAGAAATGAGACCCACCCAGTTGATAGTCCATAGAAAAGAGGTGTAGTAAGAGAGGATGTGATCAAATACCAATATCGCTCTTATTATGCATGGAGCGTTGCAACTTCCACAGGGCTGTGACCTCACAGGGGCCCCACCCTGGCCCCAGGCCTTCTGGTAACAGCCTGTGATTAGTTTTTCAATACCCAGAATCCATTATCAGCAATTATCTCTCTGAGAAGCTGGCACACTTGCCAGGAATTCCCCTGTGGCATGCCAGCTTCCTCCAGGGAGCCCTCCTAGACTGCTGGGCATTCCCAAGACCAGTGACAGTAGGAGCCTGGTGAAGGCTAGCGCATGGAAGCTCAGAAGGGCAGAAAAGGGAAATATCTGTTCCAGAGTGTCCCAGCTCCTGCGACATGTCCCAGTCCCACCTGCCTGAGATGTCCTGACGGCTCTCCAGCCCCATGGAGTAAGTTCTAAAAGAAACAGCAGCTCCTGTGCTCAGTCATGGATTCTGTTTAAATGGAAAACAGAGGTGGGACTCTGGGATAGAGTAGGCTTAATGAGGCTCTCCCGCAGGAAGAAGGACGTGAACCTTTGATATCCCCTGTGGCCTAGACAGGAAGAAATGGGTTATTGTGATAAAAGAAGAGATTTCGGTTAGACTATAAGGAGACAGACAGACTGGTTGTGAGAGGTTAAGTGTCTCGAGACTCCTTCGATGGAACTTTCTGTGTAGAAAAGTCGCCCTAGGTCTGGGCTGGATTTAGGAAAGTTGGAAAAGGGTTAAGAGTCTTGTGTGGTTTTACCAATGGGGTGACAACCTCTTCCTTAGAAGGACTGGGAGTAGAAGGTGTAGGGACTTGGGGGAGTGTAGAGAAGAGAGGGTCTGAGGTCATCAGACAGGAGATCAAGTCCTGGCTTTGCTGCTTAGCAACCACGTGACTGTAAAACAAGCCAAGAAAAATAGTACCCACGTCAGGGAGCTACCAATACCGTCAAGCATCACAAATTTGCTACAATGGAAGCCCTTCATAAACAGTAGCTATCATTAACTGGAGAGTCGAAAAAGCGTGGAGCACTCTGCCAGGCCTATCTATTGTTGTCCCTCTACTAATGACAAGTGACAAGGCTGGTCCCGATCTCCAGGCTGGCCACTGAAGTGACTCCCAGACCCAGGTCAACATGCCCGCTCTCTGGTGCCATAACTCTGATGGGCAGCAGGGCAGGTAGGGTTTCTACCACCCTGTCTGTGCCACTGTAGGCTGCTGTCTCCCACTGTTACCCCGCAGCATCGACCTCCCAGAAGCCCTTCCCAAGCTCTCTGGGATGCAGTACTCACAGTTCCCCGGGTCTCCACCAGCAGATGGTTTCTTTCTATCCGGCCCCCACCCCCATGCCACGTCGTCAGGCTTTAGCAGGAAGTTTGGTCTCCTGGTTGGTCTCCAGGGAAGCAGTCTTCAGTCCCATCTGGGTCGAGTCTCCATGCCCAAACATGGTCAAGTCTGAGCACACAGCTTGCCTCTGGACAAAAACTCCACAAGCAGGTACCTAGCCCTGAAGCCCTGTTGGGGATTCTGCCCCTGCATTTCCCAGAGTCTCCTGGGAAACATGTCAAACAGCAAAACCCATTGCCCCCCTCATAAGACCATCCTTATATATACGGGAATGTTTCTTCTACACTCCATCTCTTGGGCTGGCAGAGAAGCTAGGAATAGGAAATGATTTTCCTTGTGTGGGGCAGGGGAGGGAGGTATAGGGGTTGGGCTTGTCACCAACCCTGGTATATCCAACCCAGAGTAGCCACGGCCTCCTGCCTTTGTCACTGACATCCTGTGTGACTCTGAACAAGTCATGGCACCTCTCAGGCCTCTGTTTTCTCACTTCAATCATTAGCATTCTGAAAACTTAACTTTGTTCAGGATTGTGGTGAAGTTAGAGATGGCAGAGTCCAGAGAAGGAAGGACACATTTTAAAGACCACTGGTACTGAGGTTGGGAGCAGTGGGCCCCCCCAGCTGCTTCCAGCAGATCATCCAGGTCCAGGGACAGTGCCCTGTTAGAGACCTCCCACAGACTGACTTTGTCTTAGGCAGTTGGTAGATAGTTGTTGCAACCAATAAGACAGCTGAATATTGGTACTGGGGGCAAACCTGCCTCTGCACTCCAGGTTCTCGTGAACTAAAGAGAGGAGTTTAGAGTTTAAGGTTGAGGGTAGCACACACCTTTAATCCCAGCACTCAGAAGGCAGAGGCAGGTGGATCTCTGTGAGTTCAAGGCCAGCCTGGTCTACAGAGTGAGTTCCAGAATAGCCAAGACTACACAAACAAACCCTACCTCAAAATTTTTTTTTTTAAAAAAAAGGAGAGTTGAAAAAGCAAGAAAAACAAGACACACACACACACACACACACACACACACACACACACACACACACACACGCATGCACGCACGCACGCACGCACACACACACACCATGGTACCCTGATAGGCATCCACATGAGATTGAGGCCTGCAGACTTGATGCCCAGCCCATAGTTTCTCTACTTGATGGGCAGAGCAAAATTAGAAGCTAGCCCCTCGCAGTGACAAATCACAGCCATCCCTGCCCAACAAGGGGATGCTCCAACACCTCACATCACACCCCTGATATGTTCCCAGACACCTGAAGTTATAGAAGTCACCTCTGGTGTCCCTAATCCCAGAGCACTGTTTGCAGTTTAGATATTCCTGTCCAGTGAGTGCTCCCGAACCTCTCACAGAAGCCTGCTTCTGGTGAAGCAGGTGGCTTGAAGCCCAGAAGGTGGCTTGAGGCCCAGAAGGAAAGCTGTCACGCAGGGCTCCTTGATATTCTAGTGGTGAGCACTATCCCCTTTCCATTTCCTCAATGACTCTAAGAGAGCCAGTTGTCTATTTCATGGGCCTCAGAGAAATGGAGATTTGTTTGTGTGTGTGTGTGTGTGTGTGTGTGTGTGTGTGTGTGTGTGTGTGTGCATGTGTGTGGTATATATGTGTGGTGTATGTATTATGTGTGTATAGTATGTGTGTATGTGTGTGTGTGGTATATTTATACATGTGTGCATGCATGGAGACTGAAGGGGGACACTGGGCGCTCTGCTCCATCATGCCCCACCTTATAAAGGATCTTTCACTGAACCTAGAGCTAGGAGGATAGGCAGCCATTTTCCAGCAACCCCATTCCCCTGCTGCTTACAGTGCTGGGTTTGCAGGCATGCACCCAGCTATGCTCAACTTTTTACGTGGGTACTGGGGATTTGAACTCAGTCCTCATGCAGGTGAGGATTCTTACCCACCCAGCCCCACAGACAGGGATCTCTTAAAGCATAGGGGACAGGAAAATTGACAATGAAGAAGAAATATGAATCTGAGATAAGTCCTTAGGAGAAGATTTTCCAATGATGGGCCATGGTCCCTTCAAGGACCAGAAGCTTTCTCCTGGGACATACAAAGTAATTTAGAAACTCTTTCTCCTTTTGGGAGAGAGCTATGGGCAATAGATGGTTCTTTATGAATGTGAGCAAAGGGTCTATTAATAATCCGCTTAATGGCGAGGGAAGTTTACACAATTGGAATTTATAAACACTGATGAGGTTCCCAGTGATTTTTTTTCCCTTTTGGAAGATGGAATGAATCAGGGACAGCACCTGCTGCAGTCAACTGAGCAACAACCAGAATGCACAGGCAAGCCTCGCTCTCCCTCCAGGATAAGCTAGTGAAAATCTTGGATCATGGCTGAATATGGGAGGGTTAGGGTTAACCTGTGTGACAGGCAGCCACACGTGAAGGAGACAAGGGTGCCATACCTGGAAAATTTGATGATTCCTGGAATGTCAGTTTGGTGTTTTGATAGAAAATGGCTCCCATAAGGAGTAGCACTATTAGGAGGTGTGGCCTTGTTGGAGGAACTGTGTCACTGTGGGGGTGGGCTTTGAGGTCTCCTATGCTCAAGCTACACCCAGTGTCATAGTCCACTTCCTGTTGCCTGTGGATTAAGATGTAGAACCCTCAGCTCCTTCTCCAGCACCAGGTCTATCTGCATGCTGCCATGCTTCTCACCATGACAGTAACTGACTAAACCTCTGAAACTGTAAGCCAGCCCAAATTAAATGTTTTCCTTTATAAGAGTTGCCGTAGTCATGATGTCTGTTCACAGCAATAAAACTCTAAGACAGTCAGAAATCAATGAAAACCTCCAACTTTATCCTTCCAACAACCTCTGTAATAGTAAGTATGAGGCTCACAGTGGTACTCTGAGGTAGAGGCTTTCTACCCATTTTATAGGGATGTAGCTGAGGTTCATTGGTTTACTTTGCCCAAGGCAAGCCACCTGGAGCTTTGTTCTATCCATCTCCAGGAGTGAGGTCATTGCACCATCTGCCCTGTGTAACTTTTGAGGAACGGGAGCTCATCTAAGAACCTGGAACATAGTGTTGAAATTGTATGTTTTAGAGACAGCCCATATACCATCCATGCTCTCCACAGAGCAACACTCATGGCTCTCCTTTAGCCTGGGTGGATCTCTATAACTGCCCACCCAGACAACAGAATATGCTGGTGGGGACACTGATCACCAAGGCTAAGTTTTGCTTAGGGCTCCAGCATCCACTGGGCACCTTCTCTTGGAACACTCCTCTTGGAAACAGCCTCCGTACCACAGGAAGCTGAATACAGGTTACAGGCAGTTAGCATTTCTTTCCAGACATGAGAGTGATCACACCCACAGAGGGTTCCAGTCCTAAGCTGGAAAGGATTCAAGCCTCCTAGCTGGGAGCCTTGGACCACAGAGCAGGAACAAACTAACCCTCTGGCTCTCTGAACTCCAAATCATCTACAAATCCAAGAAGAGAAAATGAAAGGTTCATGTCCTGGGGTGTGCTTTGAGGTGATCTGTTGCACAGCTGTCGTAACAAGCACACGGTAAGTGACTTTAAATGGGGTGGTCCCTGTTGCTGGTGGTGGCGGAAGGATCCAGCCGGCAGGAATCAAAACCCGAGATTGATTGTATCGAGTGGCAATTCGGAGCTTAGAAACATCAGATCCACCCTCCCATCCGCTCACATTGCTGAACAGTTGGAACCAAAGGGCAGCCAAGAGAGGGTGTTTATATTTACTGAGCATCTACAATGTACCATGGCACAGGCTATTATTAGTCAGCTTTCTGTGGCTGGTAGCCATGACTCTTGTGTTCAGAGGTTTCGGCTCTGGCAGACCGGCTATATGGCCTCAGGACTGTAGTAAGGAAGAACACTGTGAAGAGAGGAGCATGTGGTGGAGGGGGCTGCTCACTTTGTGAGGGACAGGATACAAACAGAGAAAGAGTTCAGGAGCACGTGGAAGATACACCCTTGAAAATCACACTCCCAGTGACCTGCTTTCTCCCACAAGGCTTCCTAACATTTCTACCACCTTCCAGTAGTGCCATCTGCTGGTGCCCAAGCCTTGTAACCATGACAGATATTGACTAATCCAATCAGAGCACAAACCTGTATGGATCACGGTCCTCCCTTATCAGAGGGTCTGCTATTTGCTGTTTCAGTGTTCCATGTTTAACCATGGTCAGAAAATATTTAATAGAATGTTCATAAGTTTTAAAAACTTTAATTATGGTATACTGTTTTAATGACTAGTAGTTATTATCTCTTACTGTGCCTAATTTATAAATTTAACTTTGTCATAGGAGTGCCTGTAGAGAGAAACCCATTCTACATGGGGTTTGGTGGTCTCTGTGGTTTCAGGCGTCCAAGAAAAGTCTTGCAAAGTACACAAATACACATTCATTCCTCTCAGCAATCTCCACAAAGGCCTGTGTTTTCTGTCAACACAGAAAACCAGGGATTTTTCCAGGGCCATGCCCCAGCATGGGCTGTAATGGACCCTGGATATGAATCTGTGCCCACTGATTCCACAGCCCCTCTTTCACCCATGACTTCCATGGGAGCAGTTGCCAAGAGGATCAGTGTGTCTCTCTGGCTGTGGTTCCTTCCTAATGCTGTGACCCTTTAATACAGTTCCTTATGTTGTGGTGATCCCCAATCATAAAATTATTTTTATCGCTACTTTATAACTGTAATTTTGATACTGGTATGAATCACAATGTAAATATCTGATGTGCAGGGTATCTGATATTTGAACCCCATGAGAGGGCCATTTGACCTCACCAGGGGTCGCAATCCACAGGTTGAGAAACACTGCTCTGTGGTATCTACTGCAGCTGAGCTACAGCCCCCCCTCAGTCCCCCACAGTCCCTTTTCCAACTTGGCATCTGCTTATTTATGTAAGTGTCTTTGAATCAGCATCTAGTTTCCACCAACCTTGGCGAACGAGTCCCATAAACCAGCCAGGTGTCGAGTCTCTGCCCAGTGTGTATCATTTTCTGAATGTGGCAGGTGGAATGAATCAGTGGCCCCGGGATAGACAGCTCAGTGCCCACTGTGCCTAGACAAATATGATCAGCCTTATCCTTTGTAGGAGGTCAGCTTGTTAAAA